CAGACAGGAAATTCAAGGCCTTCCATAATGTGGCTCCAACCGAATTTCATACCATTCCCCTCCCAAAGTCTTTGTTCCAGCGTGTGCTGAGCACTCTGCTAGAGGCTTGGTGGGAGATGTGATGTAGGGAGTTGGTTTTTGTTTGTTTGTTTTTAATCCCCTGAGAGAAAGCAGAATCAGAGCATTGCAGAGTTGAAAGGGCCCTCTGTGACCATCCAATATAACTCATATCCAAAATGGATCCCTAAGGGGCAGCTAGGTGGCACAGTGGATAGAGCACCGGCCCTGAAGTCAGGAGGACCTGAGTTCAAATCCAGCCTCACACCAACACATGGCACTTAATAGCTGTGTGACCCTGGGCAAGTCACTTAACCCAATTGCCTCACCAAAAAACCAAACCAAAACAAAATGGATCCCCAGTGGTGGTCATCTGGCCTCTTTCTGGACACCTCAAGCATGAGGAAACCTTCACTATCCTAGGGCAGCCCATTCCACTTGTGCATAGTTCTGATGGCTAGGAAATGTCTTCTATCATCAAACCAAATTCTCCTCTTTGCGATGTCTACCCATTGCCTCTAGTTCTGTCCTCTGGTCCCAGACAGAACCAATCATCCCTTCTCCACTTGACAGTCACTTTTTGTCCTCCCTGCATCTTCTCTTCAGATTAGACATCCCCAGCTTCTTTGCCAATCTTAATATGTGATTTAGCAAGGAGAGATGATATCAGTTTAAGTAATATAACACATGATTTTCCATAAATTCAGTAGAGAGGTTTAAAACAAAGAGCTACCTGAGGTTTGAAGAGAAAAGTGATTCCTGGAGAAAGATGTGGCATTTAGTTGGATTTCAAAGGATGGTTAGGAATTTTAAAAGCAAAGAGAAAGGAAAGAGTAGACAGGGAAGCATAGAATTACAAAGTTAAATCTAGAAGGAACCTTAAAAATGGTTTCATCCAACTTCCTAATTTTACAAATGAAGAATCTTAAGTTCGAGAGTAGTTAAATAATTTGTTCAAAGTAAGGGAGCAAATTTGTGAGAAAGCTGGGTCTCTCTGTGTGTATGTGTGTGTGTGTGTCTTTGTCTCTGTCTCTTTCTCTGCCTGTCTCTGTCTCTTTCTCTGCCTGTCTCTGTCTCTCTCTGTCTGTCTCTGTCTCCATCTCTCTCCCTCTCTTCAAAGGCTTCTGCCTTCCAAATCCCATGCTTTGTCTATTATTACAGGGTTAGTACTTCGGTGTCTTTGGTGAATCAGCTGTGATTATGCCAGGATCACCCCATCTCCATCTTGCCTATGTTTCTCCAAGGGAATATTGGGAGTTGTATGGCCTTACTGTTGCATTCCCTCCTAGGCCTTTGAATGATACCATTCTTACTTGAGTCTGTGCTATCTTTGCTAGAGTCCATACACACAGATATGTAAAATAACAGACTATTTCTTTGCTGAAGTCTGTACATAAAGAACGGAAACAAAATTGTCAAATAACGGGCTATTTGTTAATGAATAAATGAGCCCAAGTATCCAGAAAAAAAATTGGATTGAGAGTAGAGTAAAATTGGAGGTAGAATGTGATACTGGAAGAGGAACAGGCTGGCTTCAGCTAGGTAAACAGGCATCTGATCAGAGGACTCTCAATAAAAGAACATAAGCAAGATTGTCCAGCTTTAGGGCCTGTGATTATCAATATATTTACAATTTGTCACTTATCTTCATCACCTATAACAGTCCAGTTTCTGCTGTACTCAGGAAGAGTTGCCAAGAGAATGTTTTGTGTCCATGATGGCTCTTTAGGAGAGATCGTTTGGGACTCACAAAGAAAAGGAGCCCTGAACCCCAGGGGCACCAAACCCCGAGGGCAGAGGCAGCAAATTGTAGGAGCTGGCTTTGTTAGAAGCATGGAGGAGGAGGTAGCCTCCCTTCTTCATTCTCCCAGTGAAATAAATGAAAGAATACTAGAGTCACCATTATACCAGCCTTCCCCCCACCCTCACCCCCACCCCAGGCTTATAACCCTAGACTTTTTCAAATTGAAAAAAAAAAGGCAAAAGACTAGTAGCTATTCCTTTGTCAAAGCCCGAATCATTCTGTAGCCCTTCATTTTGTCTGTGGTTTTCAGTGGATTTAAAAATACTTAGTGGGTGTGTGGGCGAGTTCTCTTATTTTGGAAACAACATGGATATGAAATACTGAGCATCGGGTTCTGAGATGGGAATTTGTGCAACATTGTAATGACTAACTCTTCTTGTCTTCCCTCCCTGCCCCCCAGAATAGGTGGATTGGGGCTATCTAAAAATAGAATGGTTCAGAATCTAGAGTAATGAACCCCCCTTTCCTTTAGGGAATGGCAAAGGGGGTTGGTGAATGTAGGAGAGGGAGGGGATACACGGATGGCAGTCTTCCCTGCCAACTCTGATTTTATGTGAGAATACATTTTCAAGTCGATGATGTGGCAGAAATAATGATTCGCATGATTGCTTATTCAGGACTGATATAAAACAACTACTGTAGAGGCCTGATGGATGCAGGAATGGATCTGGCTCAAACCCTCTGCCCCGTGTCTTGGACAGCATGCTAAGTAGTCTAAAATTACCTGCTGCGTAGGCACTTGAGGTACCTAAGGAGGGAGAGGGTGGGGGTCATCAGAAGTAGGTGGAGAGGAAGTCATCTGTTTGAGGACTTTGGCTGCTGTGGGGCAAAGAACAATAATAGCATTCTCACAGGGCGTGCCCATGAGGCCGGGTTTGATGCCAATTCAGTTCGGTGGAAATTGCCCTGCTTTTGCATCTCCCATTGACTTTTGGCAGGCTTTGATGTGTTCTGTCCCATTGACCCTGACTCTGCAAAGATGAAGGGCACCAGGAGGACTCCCGCTGCCCATGTGTTTTCATATGATGTGTTCCTTTTCAGTTTATTCATAGAATCATAGAACATTAGGGAGTACCATTCATAAAATGGGCCTATTGCAATCCCTGCCTAGTAGAGGTGCATAGATCACTTTTACTTATCTGTACTCCACATACAAACAGGTTGATAAAATCAACCTTCTTTGTAGAAGAGGATAACAACAAAAAAGATTAATCAATAGGTTTTCTCCCCAGTTTAAAAAAAAAAGTAGCCAAAAATATGTAGCTCTCAGCTTCACTCTTCCATCCAAACTTTAGTCCTCCAAAAACAAATGTACTTTGACACATTGCCGGGGGCAGGGGGTGGGGGGGGGTAACAGGATTAGCTCTTAGGACAGGGGGAACCTGGCAGAAAATGACAGGAACCCCAAACCTATTGCAAATGGTCAGTCGGTCAATAAACATTTATTAAACATCTATGTGTCAGAGCGCTGTGCTGAATGCTGCTAGCAATACTGATAGCTATCATGGACACCAGGCTTTATAGCTGAAAATCTATACCTCAGAGACCTCCAGAAGTGGCAGGCCATCTGTGTGTAGTAGTACCAATCTCTGCACAGATCTTTAAGTGGTATAAGTCAGGTTCCTTTCATTAAACAATATTTCTTTGTGCCTGATATATGCTGAATATTGTGCTGTTGGGGGGGAACACGAGAAGATTATTATATTTTTCTACAAATACATATTCTTCTTATAGAATGTAAGCACCTTGAGGGCAGGTATTTTCATGTCTTCGTATTTCATTCTCAGCACAGTGTCTTGCCCTTTATTTTTATTTTTATTTTATTTTTGGCCCAGACCTGTGATTTTCTTGGTATAAGCAATTCTATAAAGAACTCCTTCACCCCATCCAGAAAAAAACTGTCATACTACTTCTAGCCTCGGAGAGTTATTTGGGGGTGTTGAAAGGTTGAGTGATTTGCTCAAACTCATACCCCCAAGACTTGAACTCATTTCTTCCCTGCTGTTCATCTGCTCTGCTACATACCCTGCCTCAAATCCTGCATGGAATAGATGCTTGGTAAAAGTTAATTGACAGTTTCCAGCCCTAGAGTGGAGGAAATAGGGTCAGGCTGTGTCTAATAAACAAGTACTAATTAATAGACTCTCATAGGAAACTTACAGTAATTTTGCCTTTGGGCCTTATAGGGGAAAAGTCACCTTGCACTACTGTGTGAGGACTTGAAAGAGAGCACCCACAACAGCAGCTGCATTGGTCAAATAGCTGAGTGGTACAATGGATAGAGCATTGGACCTGAAGTGTGATCTTGGGGCAAAGCAGCTAGCCTCAGTTTCCTCATCTGTAAAATGGGGATGATAATAATGCCTGCCTCTCAAGGTGGTTGTGAGGATGAGATTATTAAGCAATTTGCAAAACTTAAAGTGCTATAGAAATGCTAGTTAGTATTATTGTTGTTGTTAGTATTATTCCACCCACATATCTGTATGCTAGCATACTAGTGGAATTTTTTGTAAACAGGTTGCTAGATTTAAAAGGTTTGGAGGCCACTGCTTTTGAGAGCAGGGCTGTGTGAGTTGGTATCAATTAAGTCTTCCTTGCAGCTGTTCATGTTGCTTCAGCGGGCATTGGGAATCTCCACAATTAGGAGGGCCAGCAGCTATCAATCAATTCTGACAAGGAGTGAGTTTCTTCTTTAAAAAAAACACGTCAGTGTTTTTTGAACATGAGGATATGAACAGGTTCCAGTGGTGGGAGTGGCCATTCCAGGCCCTGCGGGGAAGGTACAGATCTGGATGGTCCAGGAGGGATATTGCCATTGATATTGATCATTACAATGTTGTTCTAAAATCCCATAAAATTCAGAGAACAACATCTTGGTGATGATTGTAGGCTCTCTAGGCCTTGTATTTGGAACACTACCACATTGTATTTTCCCAGTTCATAGGGAGTTCTTTGCTTCTTGCTTTCCTGGGAGGCTATTGACTCTTTGTCTACAACATAGCACCAGGTATTTCTTTCTTTTTTTTTTCTTTCTGTTTTTTTCTATGAACTGAGAAGAGAAGGATATGGAAAGAATTACCCTCTTTTCTTTATGAATCTATATGAGTATTTATTGTAGATTTCCTTTTTTGTGTTTCAGAATGAAGACCTTCGAAACTTATCTCTCTCTGGTCATGTTGGATTTGACAGTCTTCCTGACCAGTTGGTCAACAAGTCTACATCCCAAGGGTTCTGCTTTAACATCCTCTGTGTTGGTAAGTGAGACCGTCTATTGAGCGATGAACAGGGCCAGTCCTTCTCCTGTGTCTCATCAGCTTCTTGTAGGGGTGGGATACAAACCAGGTATAGCTAATCCTAACAAGATGGAAAAGCATAGAGCGTGTCCCTGTATATCCTCTGTTTTCTAAGAACCAGCCTCGTTATGTTTGCAGACCTTCATCACCAGAAGACTGGTCACCAAGTGATTTTTTTTTTGCTTATTTTAGCAACTCATAGAGCAGTCCATCAAAGAACTTAGCATGTTCTGCATCTAATGAGGGAGTTAGGTAAGGCCAATTTTTCAAAGTTGTAACTGTCAATGAAGTGAGCTGCTAAAATCTAAACTTCCGTGTTTCTTCATTAGTAGAAACCCATTATCTACTTTGCAACTTAGATTTTTATTGTTGTTTTATGTATGAAGAATTGGATGGGAGAATGTGTGATGAGAAATATGACCAAAGTAACCATCGGCCACACTTTCTCCTCAACACACAGAGCCTTTTTACAATTCAATTTGATGAGTAGCCAGGGCAGTGGACCTAACAACACTCATCTATCCATCTTTTTCTCACTGTAACTGTTCAATGCAGAAGAAGCCAGAGTTCTTTGTTAGCACAGCCATGGTGCTAGGTGATGAGTGCAGGTCAAGGTTGAGGGCTCTTTGGGTTCCTTTTCCTAATTCTGCCCCCAGTCCATTAAAGCTCATGCCAATAGAGTTAGGCCTTCAAATGAACTATGTCCTGGTGAAAGGCCTGAGGTCACAGGGCAGGAAAAAATAGGTCAGCCAATGACCAGGAGAGAGCTGCATTGCACAAGAGTGTTGCTGGGTAACATTCCTCCTTGGCTGGTATAGCGCTTATTTAAGATAAGCAGTCTCTGTTTTATGATGATTTTTTTCATCTTATAGGCTTGGATTTATTTACAATACAACCATTTCTTTAACTTCCCCATTGATTGATAAGGCCAGCAAACCAAGGCAAAATTCATTTATTAAGCACTTCCTATGTAGTAAGCCAGGCTCTGTGCTAAGCATTAGGTAGGTATATCAAGACAATCCGAAGGAAAGACAGTGGCTGCCCTTGGGGAGCTCCCATTCATGATGGGGAGACAAACATACACATACATAAACAAACGTACATACATACGTACATACATACATAAACAAATATACACATGCATAAACATACATAAACAAACATACACAAACATAAAAAGGAACTGGGAAGGAGGGGGATGGGTTGGGCATAATGGTGAGGTCCAGAGAGAAAGGGGCACAGTCAGAAAGGGAATGGAGCGTGGTTGGTCAGGTGCAGAAATAGAGGCCCCCAGAAGGAAATGGACAATGGGCAAAGGGGGCCAGCATAGAGGAGGGATGTTCCAGGTAAGAAGGCAGCTATCTCATGGTGGTGAAGTCAGCAGAATCAGAAGCAAAGCCAATAATTTTTATATTGACTCATGTTTAAACCTCAAGTTTTAAATGGATATTGACTGGCAGGACTTATGGGAGTTAGGTTATAGAGTTGATAGCTATTGGATTTAAGCATTTGAAATATTCTTAGAGGATTTTAGGAAATTATTTTATAACAAAATTTCTATATAACAAAAGATTTAAATTTAAAATGAGGTGTCCTGAAACTTTGGTACAGATAGGCCTGTGGGATAGAGAGGCAGAGCAAATAACCCTCAAGGCTGTACCCATGACGTGAACTAACCTGCTTTCAGAATGCCAAAAGTCATTGTCCCTAGTTATGAGAGTAGGTTTCATTTGACTAGTGCTAATACAGATGTTTAAATCAGGTAAAGGAGGAGGCCGGGCCTGCCTCAGGCCAATCTGAGACACTCTAGGTCCATCTAAAACAATGAAAGGAAACTTACTTAGTCATGGTATGAAAATGATATTCTGCAAAGATCCAGAATTGATTTAGCAGGGCACAGCTTCCAGGCCTCTGAATCTGCCTTAGTGGGGCACTGGTCTCAAGAATGATTCCTGGGGCTCTGATTCCTTGTACACTGACTTTTGTCCTAACACCACAACACATATGTTTGGTCCAATTAAGTCTTTTAATTTTTTTTATTCTGAACTTAAATTCACACAAAAAAGTATGTTTCAATGCTGTTCCAATAGAATACAAAAAAAGGATTCTATAGGAAATCATGAATCTCCATTTCATATTGTTTTTTTAAAAGTATGTAGTAAATTTGAAAGTATATAGTAAATTTTCCTGCTTTCCTACTTTTCTTACTTTTAAAACCATCTTGCTTATCTGAATTCCCTTCTGTGCCTTTAAAAAGTATCACTTGCCATAACCATCCTCCAACTTAACCCAAGAGAAAGAAAGAAGTTTTTGCAAATATAAATATCTGCCTTTATCAGAATTTGTAAAATTATTTTCATATTTCAACCATGAACCATTTTGGTTGTCTGTGGGGTTAGGAGAAGATGTAGAGAAGTGGGACGTTGAAAATGTGAAGAGAGGGGTTCATTTAGTCGGAGTCTACTTAGAAAACCATGTGGGAGGATTTTAGACTTTCCAAGCAGCTGGTTTGATTAGTTTAGATCCCCAAAACACCATCTGTGTTTAGCAGAATTGCAGGTGAATTATTTGGAGGCCAGATAATTCATAATATGGTAGATGGGCTTGGTTTCCTTCTTAGAATCTATGTAAAAAAAGGCCCTGGAAAAGAACCAGGTTTGGAAGGAAGCCTTCTTTCCAGTGTGACTTTTCTAGACAGTTCCTCTTACTGATAGGAACTGGGAAATGGATCCTGCTGGCCAGCTGTTCTCCTGTACCTCCATTTACTAACATTGCAAAGTTCCATCAGCAATGTTTGCATTGGATAAATAATAAACGCTTGACAAACTAGCAAAGACTTAAAGATTCTTTGTATAAATTGTTACCGTAAGGGGGAAGGGAAGGGAAGGGAACAAACACTTGTATCGCTTACTATGTGCCGAGCCCTGGGCTAGGCACTTTTAGAAATATTATCTCATTTGATCCTCACTATATCTCTGTGGGTAGGTGATATTATTAGCTCCATTTTAAAACAGTTGAGTAAATTGAGTCAAACAGAGGTTAAGTGACTTGCCCAGGGTCATAACAGCACTCTGTCTACTGCACTGCCACCAGCATACTAAGCATAGTACATATGTATATTACATATACCATATACACATATACTACACAACTATAACTATAAAATATTAAGCGATTACTTTCTGAATTCAATGAAATGCTGTTTTTATTATTTGTGCTTATTTGAAGTAGAACTTACACCTTGAAGACTTCTTGATTAGGTAGAAAATTTTTTTATTTGAGGGTCCAAAAATGTGCAAGGCTTGCTAGGGTATAGAGAGAACTTTCCTTGAAAAAATGTCTGAAAAGTTAGATTGTTTTTCTAAGAACTGCTATCGTATACTGAGTTTCCTTTTAACAAATCACAATTGTGATCATGTCTAATTTAATGATGCAGATGATGGAAATAGCTTAGAGTGCAAATAGCTTAGAAATTCAGAGGCAAACTGAACCAAAGTGGTTTTTCCCACCCACTGATTCACTTACGCATCACAATCAATGCCCACATTGTTCATTGTTCTCCATTTACATCTGAATGCAAATGGCTATGCTTCTGTGTTCTCCACATTTTAAAAAAACTGTTATCTTGCCTTTTACAAATTTGATATTCTTTGACTCAAATAGTTTCCACATAGGTCACTGACTTAAAAAGTGATTGCCCTCATGAAATGAGAGGATGAATTCGGTCCTTAGCCTTCTTAGAGGAAGAAGGCCATTGGGTTAAGTCAATTATGTTAGGCGGATTTGTGGGCATGATGGAGTTGCCATCATTGATAGTTTGTTTCTACCTGTCTCCAGCTATGTGTTGGGGGAGGGGAAGACTACGGGGCTGTGGCCGCAGCAGGTGCTACTGTTGCTTCTGGGGAGGAAAAAGCACAATGGAAGAGATGATGGGCTGTCAGTCACGTAGGCAAAAGTTGAGGGACAACCAACACACAACCCAGGTGCACAATGGGTATCCTAGTGCTTTCCGTAGACCTGGAGGCCCCCAGCATGTTAAGTTTAGCCTCTGTATCTCCTCTGGGGGGCATGTGGACAAAATCATGTTGATGTGGCTAGGTTGGGTTCACGTGATCTAAATCACTGGAAGGGCTATCCAGATCCGTTGGTGTAGCAGCCTAGGATTGCATCGACTTGGATAGAGTCTCCTTCTGTGGTGATGCGTTCTAGTCACATTTAATTGGCTAACAGTGTCAACCGTCTGATTAGAAATAGATCTGCTAGCTTCCATTTCACTTGAGGTTATTTAAAATGGAAAACAATGAGTGGCATGGGCATTGTAACCATTTGGGAGATTTTTCATTGAGTGAAATTCTTTCTTCAATAAAGCAATCTGATGCCATTTTGCCATAAATTTTGTCATCCCCTCAAAATAATTACACCGCTTATTCGTGCCCACTAGGATTTCCTGAAGAGCTACATTGGCATGTGTTTGCCTCAAAAGAACAGTCTATTTGGGCAGTTTTCAGAGTTCATTTTGTTATTAATGTGCTCATTAGGATTTTTGTTTCATAATTGAACTACCTGACACCTTTTCTTACCCACCAGTGTCCTTATTCTTGTAGAAAGTAAGGACCTCCAGAAATCTCGGGGCCATTTTTTGAAGATTTCTTCATTTTCTTCGTCTATTGCCCTAAATCCACAACCATTTGGTTCTTTGCGTTGAAGCAAGACATCACATGACCACTTACTGTGCTTTGCATATAGGTGGCATAGGAATAGGGATCAGACCTGGGATTTCATTAGCATAAGGGAACTTGCACACAAGGAAACTCCCGTTTTAATTTAAGTTGGCACCTTCTTTGCAATTTGTAGACCTGGAAATATGCCTAGAGCATTGAGAAGTTAAGTAAAGACAGCCAGTATGTGTCAGAGATGGGATTTTCAGTTCTTGTTGGCAACAAGGCTAGCTCTCTCTCCAC